TGCATTCATTTTGAAAGAAACTCCTCTGCGAATCGTAATTTATTGGTTTCTTTCTTCCTCCCTCCTATACAGACGGGATCTTGATGAGATTAGGTATTGTCCCACATGTAGGAGCAGCGCCAAATATAGAACGGTGAAAATGGGAAGAGGAAGAGGTAAAAAAAAAAAACATTCGAAATAATTTTGTTATATCACCTTTTGCAAAAATATAATCGTAAGCAATAATACACAGACAATGCACCGTCTTGTACTATCGACCGACCGGCATTTTGTATAGAATGTAGAAATAATGATTTATGATGATTGGGTTACAAATGGATTCAAACCATTGTGCATGCTGTAACCTATGGCAGGATATTTTAGGTGGGAAATTAAAGAAAATATAACAATACAGTGTGGTCCCAAAAAGAAAAGTTTACACATTTTTAGACGCAGATTTCTCGGAATTTCTCGGGAGACATGTTAGAATTGATTTGATATTTAGTAAACTACAGCATCTCCGTGGTATATGCAGCGGTGCTGATGGTCAAAAACCAGTCTGTGAGATACTCAACACAATAGCACTGCATGCCAAAATATGTAATATATGTAATGTAATTAGGAGGACATGACTGCCATAGACTAACGTGTGGACAAACTAACAGTATAGTTTTGACTATTTTTCTGTAAATGGCCGCTATTTCTGAACTTGAGCTTTATTTTCAACGCCGTTTTTATCATATACTACGAATATCTTGTAGTTTAGGAATATCTTAAAACAATCCAACATTTCTCCCCAATTTTGAGAAATCTACCCCTGAATAAGTGTAAATCTTCTTTGAACAGCTCTGTACAGCGCGTCCTAAAATACACTAATAGGCTTATACTATAGCGTCGCCGCGGAAACACGTACCGCCATTATGTACTTTATATCATTTTAAAGCTTGGAATCTTAACTTTGTCCCTAGTAAGTATTGGTTTGATTTTCAAAAAGGTTTTTGAAATTATTTGTGTTCAATAAAGGCATGTCAAAAGCAAACTCAACCGATTTCAAAGAAAATCAATCATGCGCATTTTTTTCCTAAAATGTGGAAATGGTTTGTCATGTTCATGATGTGACGATCTCGTTGCTTTTCAATTTTTGTGTTTCCTATTCTTTTCGATCCACGTAGACTACACCTTAAATAAATTCACAAAATTGTTCTTCGTTTCAAGTGCAATGTGAATCAACTGTTTTTTATGTTATGTCAACAGCTTGTTGACATTAACTCAGCGCGAAATATTATTTGCGACAACACAACATTTTTCCTTGAAATCGGTTGAGTTTGTTTGCGACATGCCTTTATTTGAACACGAATTATTTTAAAACAATTTGAAAAAGCAAACCAATACTCGATAGGGATAAAGTTCAGATTCCAAGCTTTAAAATGGTATAAAAAATAATGTCGGTACGTGTTCCTGCGCTGACGCTGGAGCCTCGCCAAAAAAAGTGGCGAGTATTTTGATACGCGCTGTGTAGGTTGTGCGGCGTTTATAAAAGAATGGAGATGGGCGGGATGCTTTTTCTGCTAACCAAAATAGTCACTGATGATAATAAGCGTCAGTTGTAAAGGGAACAGTTCTCATATTTCCCTTTAAAATGCCCCAGAGCCCTGAATAAGGGAATAAAGGGTAAACATTATTTCATTGAAAAGTAGCACTTGAATTGAACACGATCAAAGAAAGAAAGAAAACTAATTCCTTTTTTAGGGATGGGGTGGGGGGGGGGGGCATGAAACCCAGCATCAACCATTAGGCCGCAATGTCGCTTCAATCTTCGTTGGAATTAACCCTTATCAAGCCATCCCAAATAACGTGATCTATTAGGCCTATTACACTTGCGTGGTATGATTCAGGTATGCGTATTATACGGTAAGTGACTATACTTGGTTGCAGAAAACAATTTGCGGGGAGGATGGTTGACATACAGGGTGCAGGTACCTGTAAATAGCCCCAGTTATGGGCGTCGCCAGGAATTTTTTCTAGAGGGGGGCAAAACGTATTTTTCCCAAAAAAAATCTGTATTTCTGAACATATTCTCGATTTACCAATTTTAAAGGGGGGCAGGGACATCCCCCCCCCCCCAAATCCATTAAATTTACACCACTATGACATCGCGCCTCTTTTTTCTTTTCTTTTTACGTTTTTTTGTTTGTTCGTTTGTTTGTTTGTTTGTTTGTTTGTTTTGCTTTTCCGGGGGGGGGGCTTTTCCCCCCTCGCGATGTCCATGGGCCCGCCGGCCAAATCACGATTTGCACACCCTGAAGTTCTCCAGTATTAGAGCATTTTGAGGGGCGTGAACTTGAGGATTTGTAAAAAAGAAAAAATTATAGGGTGGAAGCCGTGCAGAGGACTGCGGCCTCGTATTACTGTGAAATGTTGATGAAGTTAGGCCCTAAAATGACTCTATTTTGCAATAGAGCGTAGGCGTCCGTTTTCAAAATTGCGATGGACTTCATCAGGACTGCTTTTTTGGGGTGATCATCTTCGGAAGGAATTTTCTCCCAAAAGTGATAATTAACTAAAAGAAATTGAACGGAAAATGAAAGATGATGAAATAAGCTTTTAGTTTGATGAGTGTCCCAAATATTTCGGAGAGTTGTGAGCATGTTAATTTTAACATACTCATACAAACAATAATTAATTTTGGAAAGCTGCGTATACCACTGAGGTCCATGGCAGTCTATCTACTATGACCTACATGTACTATATTTATAGGGCTCCCTCTATTGTTTATGACCAGGCCAACATTTCTGTCCCTCTTACGGTTAAGACTATCTGTATCTGTATCAGTTGCTCCAGCTAAAACGGTAGAATCCGCATCCCACTAGAGTTGGGGCGGCTGTGCTGGAGCTAGTTGACTTGGGTTTTGGTTCCCTCCCCAATGACGTGGTCCACTAAGGCTTGTTTAAACTGGTTTAAGTCGGATATGGTGCATGGTGATAGTGTTTGGCAGGTCGTTCCAGATGGTCGTTGACGGGTAGAAACTGGTGCTGTAGAGCTTGGATTTAGCGTTGGGTCGGTGATATGAAAACTGGTGCGAGCTCCTAAGACTTTTTGTTTTGGGCCTAAGGTCGTTCAACGAGGTTGTGAGAGATCTTGTACATCATGATTAGTCTAGCTATGGAGCGCCGTGTTTCTAGTAGAGGCCAACCAAGCTGGTTCAACATAATCTGTGACACTGGCAAGCCTGGTGAAGTTGTTACAACACATCCTGGCAGCGTATCTCTGGATACCTCCAAGTTGATTTTTTTTCTTCCTCATTGAAGGTGGCCCAGCCGCAGACACCACACTCTTGTTTTGGGCGGGCGAGAGACTGGTAAAGTTGGGATTTAACCCTTCTGCTACAGGATTTGAAGTTGTTGGTAATTTTGTTCGGATGTGAGACGACCAGCTACAGTCAGCACTCAGGATGAGGCCAAGATATGGGTGATTGGTAGTAGTTTGGAGAGGTCTCTGGCATGGGCGTCGCCAGGATTTTTTCTACAGGGGGGCAAAACATATTTTTGCCAAAAATAAATGCCTGTATTTCTCAACACAATCTAGATTTATCAGTTTTTTAGAGGGGGCAGGGACATTTTGCCCCCCCCCCTCCCCCACCATTAAATTTATACCACTATGACTTCGCGCCTCTTTTTCTTTTCTTTTTTCTCTTTTTCTTTTTTCTTCCTTTTTTTTTTTTTTTTTTTGGCGTCATCAGCGAACAGTCTGGTTTTCGAAGAAACATATGAAGGGATGTCATTAACGCAGAGGAGAAACAGCAGGGGTCCCAAGACAGTGCCCTGGGGGACTCCAGATAGACTATAGTAAATAAACAGAACAGAACAGAACAGAACAGAACAGAACCGAACAGAACAGAACAGAACCGAACGGCCTATAGGGCCAAGAGTTGTTGCCAGGCGAGTCTTGAAGGGTCTAAAGGGCTAAGAGATGTAACCAACTTCCTGAAGGGCATAAAGGGCCAAGGTAATTTTGTGCCGAGTTATGATCGGCTGTAAGAGCTTTTTGACAATATTCTTTAAACCGACCATAATTAATGCTTTAATATATTAGAGATTTGATTTAATTAGTGAGAAAATCCTTCACTTATTAAATATACAGTAGACTAAACATGAATGAATTATCAACTTCGAGGTTCAAACACCAACCATGATGCCGTGTGAATGTTATATCTTTATTCAATTGTGTTAGCTATATAGTACATGTATTCACATGGCTTCCAAATGATATTTTCATATCACTTTGCAAAATCTGTTCACAAATTCTTCAGCTAATGATGTGCTAACGAAGGTTTATCAGAATCAGAAAAGTCTGGAAATGTAATACCTATACAGGGCCAAGAGTTTTTTTACCAGGCCAAGTCTCGAAGGGCCTAAAGGGCCAAGAGTGTTTGTGCTGAGTCCTGATCGGCTATAAAAGCTTTAATATGTATTAAACTGACCATAGTTAATGCTTTAATATGCTATAGAATTGTGTAAAAACACGCCCATTGTCTTCCAATTGCAACCGCTAGCCCGAGAGCGTTGATTTGCATAGTTCAGGTATACGTTTCCATTTTCCATAAGAATACACAAAAGAGATAGAACAATCGCTAGTGAGGAATATTGCTATTATCATTATTTAACTCTGTAAAAAAAAAAAAAATGGCGACTCAATCAAATAGAAAGACTTTTACGCTTCTCCATCTTTGAATAATGAATTTAAATGTTTTTTGGAAGTATTATAAAAATGTTCAATCAGCTTACAAGAAGCTCGTTTTCAGCTTTTGATTACTTTAATGGATTTGAAAGAGTTTTACTGGCAAAAAGTACAAGTCAGAACAGGTTGTGTTGTTAATACGAGTTCTGCAGTTCTGTAGATTATGTTACATGTGATTATGTTATAGTAGTAATAAAACAGCGCCACCCTTGCAAAGCCACGATGTCACATGAGGGCGCTGGTCCCTGCTCTAATTTCAGGGTCAAAAATTATCACCAGAAATGTCATCGCACTAGATTGGCGGTTTCTTTTTACCCCATACTTTCTTTTGGCGCTAAAATAGCTTTACATATTTCTACAAAAACCCACGAGACTGAAGCCGCAAATGTTAGAGGGGAAGTTAAGAAATATACCCCTCCCTCAATTCTCAGTACAAACGAGAGATAAGTCGCATTATTTAATTCGAAATTCACAAAATACGATCTTTATTTACGTCCGTGTTGGACTTTAGAAACCGTCAATGTGAAATCAGTAGTATTTTGTTGACCTAGGCCTCCATCTTGAAAGTTGATGCGTTGTTTTCGCCTGGATTTGGGTGGATTTTTACGTCTCTTGGCGGGGCAACATAGCCACTGCAACCTAGATGGACAGTACGTCCATTATAACACAAGTCAACCGGGATGAGGAACCGCTGAACGCCTTCCCAACCGCAGATTCTGGTAGGTATTGACTACTCACAGAGGTTAAGTTGTACAATCTTGTCAATCATTTGAATGAAGTCAAAATGGTGCACACATTTACGATCCACAATCACATGTTGTATAAAGTTGGCGAGTCCTAAAATCAGTGATTGTTGTCATGTAGTTTTACACTGATCCAGTATAATTAAGGCTTAGCCTACATAATGACATTGACATGAGTGAGGGCCTCCCAACTGAACAGTAGTTGGAAAGTTAGCTCAGTCACTCAGCTCAGTCTGAGCTTGAGTATAAACTCCAGCTCCAGTCCAATGCTCATCAAAACAGTAATTCGACACTTATGTCGAATTCCTGATGAGCATTGGAGCTGGAGTTACTCAAGCTTTTGGAAAGTTAAGAAAATCAACCATCATGACCATAGCCGTGATGGCCATGATTTTTTATTGCTATGGGCCTTGCCCTTGAAATATCACAATGTGCACTGTTCATGTAGGCCTAGGCCGTTTGACATGGCCACAAATTGCAGACTTTCAGTTTCATACCTTTTGTAAGTTTGATGACACTTGCCTAGGCCTGATTGCTTTTTTCTTGTTGGACCCGTCATGTCTGTTTACACTTACCAAAACTATTATTAAGTTACATGTAACCACTGTCAGTGTCATCAACATATGTTGTCGTATGGATTTGACTTTGTCTTTGCGTTTAATTTTGTAAATGTTTAACAAATATTTTAAGAAATGTTTTCACAGTTTCAGAGTGACAAAATGGTAGCGTGGGACACCCCATCTCAAATGCTCATTGGAAATTTGACAATTCGAGCCGGGGAAATGTTGGTGTCACAGTACATGTACTAGCTGGAGTTACCCAGCCCTGAGTTTTATCATTGGGTTGTCATCTAGGGCTGGAGCGAATTTTTCTCGTAACTTGTAGTATTTGCAAACATTTTTGGAAAATGTTCAATTTTGTCCCCGTTACACACTAATTGCAACTGCAACTCACCCCAAACTTGCCTGGAATAACCATTACACAGGTCCTTGAAGTAAAAAACGATCCACGATGAAGATTCAGCCTACAATTGCAGTGAAAACAGGAGGAATAACCGCTAACTTGACAACCTTGCTGGATTGGCCAGGACCGCCATTGGTTTGTGCACAAAAAAAATTGTGTACAATGAATGGCGGTCGATTAACAGGCACAGAGAGAGCGATCGCTGTCAACTACTCGTTTTTGCCGGCTGCGCTGGCTGTTGGCGCATGACGTCACGCGGAAGCGTAACACCCGATGACTGTTTTATGCACTAATATGAGGTTTACCACTCGCATCACAGCTTTGGTACTGGAACCGCAACCAAGATCGACGCGCATGATTAAAATCGACGCGCGCGCTGACCAGAGACCGACTTATTTTTTTTTTGGCCTAACACTGCCGTTTTTTTATCCCCGTATACATCCAAACCGGTCGAGGCAATACTCATTAATAAACATTCAGCATATTTTAAAAATGGGTATTTAGTGTGCAATAGCAGAGTGGCCAGTTGAGTTTTTCATAGAATAAATTACAAAACAGAAAAACAATGTCAGCAGTGGTATGGTTCCAGCAAAGATATGTACAGTGCTGCATAGCAGACCAATACCAACAGCACATGCTTGCACTACAACAGCTGTTTGAGGACGCATTGTAAGCGGTCCTCACAGTTTGTACCATCTTCCAAGCTAATGTTGTAAAAGCGAATGTTGTAGGGCATCAAACCAAAGGGGAAGATTTTACTATCTTTAAATTCCACTGATAAAAAGGTCAGGAGATGAAAATGAAATTTGAAGAAACAATCATCTCCTCTTGTTCGGAATTATATACAAGTATGCAAACACATTTTACAATCTGTTTTTATTAAGACATGCCATGAAGGTTCTGTATGCAAAAGGCCGGAAAAGTGTTATACAGTAAATGGCGTACATTGGACGGATGAAAACAAAGTACATACATGTACACATACACACACAAATCCACCAGTATAAGCCATTTTCTGACTCATTTTTCATTGCATTTCAATAACATACAAATCTTGAACTTAGAGGCTGCGTCATCTACATGTGTGAGTTATTTATGATGGAGGAAATGTGGTGAACCCAGATATTTCGATTTATTTATGGAGGGAGGTTGGCTGTGATAGTTAATATTTCCTTTTCCGGATATTTTCCAGTTGTTAAAAAAATATCCCCCTACACAATTACACGTATGTAAAATACTGTTCCCAATGTGACTTTGTTTCATCCAGCATAAATGAAAGTTAGAGTTATAAATTAATCAGAGAACCCAGAGTATCATGTACATTGATATTGGAAGTAGCGGTACCTGGATATTGTTTGCGGTACACCACAGACCACTTACAGTACATGTAGGCCATATGTCAAGTACCGGTACATGCTACAATAAACTCTAGTCCCAGAACATGTACATTTCCCCTCCTTGCTTGGACTACACGCATAGTGTATTAACCCTAACCCTGCTGAATCCAACAGGATCCAACTATGTCACATACCCGATGGAGCCTGTTGGATTGAGCAGTTAACCCCTTGTGTACATTCCTCGTGCAAAATGTTGGATTCAGCAGGCAACTGAACCACATTATAACGCATTGTTGGACTCTGTTGGATTCAACAGACAACTGAAAATGAGGCACAGTGGATTGAACAGGAAACTCCGGTTGGACTCTGTTGGATTTAGCAGGGTAGTCCTGAGGAAGTACTAGGGGGTATGTGATTTCACAGGCAGGACTGTCTCTCTTACAAATTGCAAGACAGCACTCGTGAATGTGAAGTTACGATATCAATTATCAATACAGCACTCATGTAAAGTTACGATATCAATACAGGCAAAAGCTTCCCTTGTGAGTTTGATAATGTCCTTCCAATGCAGTGTACATGTACATATATGGCAGGAAATGTCAAATAACCATTTCAGTGCAGAAATGCCAAATCTTGATTTGATGAGAAATGACTCTTGGGACAACTTTCATTATTGAATGTTATTCACTATATGGAATGTTATTCACTATTAAAAACTTGATGTAGCTTGCACAGTCTGCATTACCATTTTAACCCTTACTCTCTGAGGGTAGTTTACTGCATGTCAGTCAGTTGGTTATGCCAATGCCCTCCAGCTGCAGTTTATTGGAGGATACTTTGATGTAGCAGTGAAGGCTCCAATTGGCAGGAGTTGGAGGCCCTGGAGGGTGCCTGATACTGACCAGCTGGGGGCACTTGATTGTTATCAGAGGACTCTCATTGTTCTCTGTGGCATGTATTGGAGTGCCTGTCCAGTTACCCTTGAAATGACATGGCAGATATTGGAGGGCCATGCAAAAAACATAGGAGATTTTCTTGAGGCACATATTGGCATGCGTTGGAGGGTCTAGTAGGGTAAGGGTTAATGGCTATAAAATCATGCTGAATGTGAATTGTAGCACACAACTGAGTCAAATACTCGTATATCAGTTTCATTTTCCAATGTAACTTGTGATCCTGACAGTTTAATGTTCACTCATAAGTACCTGAAACAGTTTGCCCATACATATTGGTCGAGAGCCTGTCATAAGAGTGGTTTTAAACCGCCAGTAAAACACTGCTGCATTCTGCCCCAAGTTGCACATTTCGCGCCTGAGGCTCATGCCATTATCCTTGACCAGGCCCCTACTCCCCCCTAGCCAGTTTTAAATGTAATTATTTAAAACCAGCCAAGCTTACGTTAATTCCTTTATATTGATGGATTCCGGAGAATCTGGAAAGGTTCCAATTAAATACTAAAAGGTTTTTAGGATGAAACTTCAGACATCTTATTAATCAGGACTGAAATGAAATGCATTTTGCCAAGGAGAGAACATAAAAACTTCCAAAGAGAATGAGGCCACAAAGATTTTTCAATAAACGTATATAGCTGGCAGAGCTATTGAAATTGCCCTTAATTAAAAAAAATGAATATGTGAGGTACACAACACAAATATTTCTAAAAGGACGGTACAATATAACCGTACAACAAAATGTCACTTTTGCACTATGGCATGTTTCTTGAAATTTGCTCTTAAGAGCGTTTTCACAGCAGTCCAAACTTTTTTTTAATCATAGAAATCCTATACCGTGGTGTTGAATTACACAACAAAAATATTTCTAAAAGGTTGGTACAACAAAATATTATATCACTTTGCGCCTTGGTATGTTTCTTGAAATTTGCTTTAAGAGTGCTTTCACAACAGTGAAATCTTTTTTTTTTTTAATAAAAGAAATCCTGTACCATGGTGGCGTGGCACTGTACTTTGTAAGCGATTGTTGGTCTAAGGTATACAATATAGTCTCTGAACAAACATGTATAGCCAGTTAGCCCGCCCCTTTAAGCATAATTGTGTCACATTCTTGTGGTTGTTTGTAAACGTTTCATCTTTTTTTTTTAAAGGCAAGTGTGAAACATGAAACCAATATGGTTGACCTGGGGTTGAGGGCAAGACCACACATCACTTCATGCACTTTGGTTTTCCTGCTTTGCTATGGTGCACCCTGCTGTTGGCCACCAGAAAATATTGTCTTGTTTGGGGGTACACATACATGTAATGTAAACACCCGACTTTGTTCATGTACTTATTCTTTTCTTACCATGAGATACATGTAGCCTACTATTATATTACTAACCCCTAGTAGTTGCCCAGGACTACCCTGCTAAATCCCACAGAGTCTGATGGTTACTCATTTCCTGATTAAACCAACACAGTCCCACCCTACCCAACTTGCGAAGTTGTTGGGTACCTTAACATATAAAATGACTGGCATGCTCTGTCCAACAAAATCCATCTGTGCCTTATTTTTCTGTTGTCTGCTGGATCCAACAGAGTCCAACTTGGTGTTATTTACCAGTACCCAGCAGAATCCGACTCTGAATGTTTACAGTTGCCTGCTGAATCCAACAGATTTCAACAGGAGCACGTACGAGGGGTTTACTGCTCAATCCAACAGGACCCAACAAATATAAAAGAATTGGATCCTGTTGGATTGAGCTGGATACGGGTTAAGTCCTGAAGGCTGAAGTCCTGTGTTTTATAGCTCCATGGTTATAGCATGTATGTTGTGCTTTTTCTATAAATAGGAATGTTTTTGTGGAAGTTGATACATGTAGAACAATTAAAGTGAGAGGGATTTTAATGGTTATACTTAAAAAATCCCAAGAACAAAGACATTTACAAATTTTGTTGGACCATAACTGAGTTGATAGAGCACTGGTACAGTATTTGTGATGTACAGTAACAGGATGGGGGACACCCCTTTAAAAAATTCCTCCACACTGAACAGGAAACAAGTTTTCTTTCTTGAAAAGCCATGCCGGAACCTTACGGAAATAGCAATACAGGAAAAACCGCAAGCCACAACTGACAGAAAAAGGGGGTCTGTTGCCCACTGTTGAGGATTGCATTATGTACATGTACACATAGATCTGTATCATGCATGGTTGCCCTTTCACATAAAATCCCTGGACAAATAAATGTTAGTTGGCGGCGGGACCGCTGTAGCCCACCGAATTGTGTCCCGCAAGACGGAGGGAATTTTGAGGTTGTTGAGGAGTAAAGAATTGTTAAGGTGTTTATCGTTTGTTTTGCTCTGGAGGCCAAAATGACTTTCTGAAAACCGGTTCTAAGGTCCTTTTTCATGGGCAAACTTCTTTCTTTATATAGTGCAGCAGGCAGGAATAGCTAGTGGCTATACCGCCACATTTTGGGGTCATGAAGAAAAGCCCTGGGATGAAAGTACCAATGTTACATGATATTCTTGTGTGATTGTAGGATTTTGTTGAATTGTACTTGGGGGGGGGGGGGGGGGGGGAGAATTCCATACATGGACATCACTAATTTTTTCCTTGCAGTAACCTACATGTATCAGCCATCAGAAAGGGTATGTCCTAAAAAGTCAAATTTAGCATGGAAGATATTGAAGCATTTACTGAGAAAACACCTTGAATTTTTCAGACCAGTCTCATAGGGTTTGTGCGCAGGGTGTCAAGAGATGTCCAGGTATGGAACTCTTTTCCCTTTTTTCTAAAGGGCAATTCCATGGTTACTCACGTTACATTTTTGAAGTACTTTTGAGTTTCCTTGGGCTGTAATTACCTTACTGAAAAGGTTTGATAACTGTTATCCCCATGGTAGATAGAGTAGACCTAGAACTACCTAAGCACCAAAGATGACATCCAGAAAAATGTGTTATGTATGATAGACAAGATGCACAATATCGGTTACTCACGTTACATTTAACACAAGTTAAAAAACACTTGTATCCCTTGTTGTTTACCACAATATTCTGAAATTGAAAACTACCAGTAACTGCAGGGAATTGTCATAATCTTTGATGATAGTTAATGATAACCGAAATGCACAGTGTGAGTGTAGTAATGAGAGCAGTGTAAATCTGCAAGGTTCTTTCAACTACAGTTTAACATATCACACATGGTCATGTGCATGTGCTGTGTTCAATGACAACCTTGATTACCCTTTAGTGTGTGTTACCTTGTCAGGTAAGCTGGGCCATATTAGCATTCCTGTGGCTTGTGGTCAAGCCAACAGTAATGACTGTATTATGGCATCCAAGGTGACCACAACAAGAGACCGCCAATCTGTGAGTGCCTATGAACATGCATGTACATGTACAGTACATGTACAATGTAAATGTACCTGTGCACTACATGTACCTGTGTACGTACAGGTACATGTACCTGTGCACGTACATTGTACATGTACATGTACATGTACCTGTGCACGTGCATTACATACCAGTGCACTGAAGTGTTCAAGCACATGTAATGAAAATGGTCTACATGTAGTTATTGCAGCGTTGTAATAATGGCACATACATGTGCATGCTTCATGGTTGGATGACTGCGACTTATTAAACCATACCGGTATGATTAAACCAGCACGAACATGCACAGTACATTGTTAATGCATAAGGGTGTAATTCTGCAAATGGTCATTGCACATGGTAAGGCACTTCTTGCCATTTGCATGTACTTTGTATTGGTGCCCTTGGCGATTAGCCTTATGCATAGTGTTGGACTAGTCTTGTTCATAATAATGGGAGTAATTTCAGCAGGTGACAGAGTGCAGAATATAAATTATGTAATGTCAAAGCTGTCTGTTTGGGAGTTAACTCAGAAATCAAAATCACGTGGCTAGTTCAATTGTCAAGAGGGATGCTTTTCAGCCTTTTTTTTTGTGTATTCCCTGCCTGATACAATGGTTCCATCTAATTAAGCTCAGCAAGAAAGGGTTAATTTTGAACGGAGGATTTTTTTTTAATGGGAAGATGCATCTGAATTTACCTGCAGCTTGATGCCATGCATCGAACTCGGTTACAATAAAATTGAGGAAAAAATCTTCATGAAATTGTACGATTGCTAAATGTTATCCATGGCATGGAAATGTAGGTTATATCCCCCACCAAAAGGGCTGTGCTGATTAAACCAAATATTCAAATATTCGGTCATCATCCGAATGTAATTTTTTTTATTCAATTCAAATATTCGAAAATGCCAGAGTGCCGAGAGATGATTACAAAAAAAGTCCACTGTGTTCTTTAAAGTTCTAATCGTGTACATTACGTGGTTTCATTGTTTGTCAAATGCCACACTTGAATGGAATCCACATGAGCACAATTTTGACAGTTTTTGTGAGGACTATTAACTTAAATTTTGTCTCAAAAATCGGTCAAATATCAACCATTCCGCTACCTCTTCTTTATGTTGGTTTAATCAGAACTCTGTCAATTGTCAACAAAAGCGCGAGCGTTCAAATCTCGATGTTTAACTTGATTAACGCATTTCAAATATTTGAATATTCGATCAAATTCGAATTATTGAATACTAAATTATTTGAAAATGCACAGCCCTACCACACAAGGGGTAAAAAATATATTCCCCATTAGGAGAAAATTGGTGTGAACTGTGAAGTACATGAACATGTATGCATGGGAAATGCAAAGGATATAGTGCACAGTTGGCAAGTGGACTTGAACCTTGACCCTTTAATCACAATTTACATGCTTGAACTTTTGCCATCCCCTGTGATGGATGCACCGATGCAGAGAACCCTAACTCCTTAGGCCTTTTTGCTAGGATGTAGCCTCAATCCTGCAAAATCCTCCAATTGGCCTCATGGAAAAATAGCATATACATGTAGCCTCAATCCTGCAAATTCCTCCGTTGTTTCTTGAATATGGTCCATGGAGGGGTGACCACTGCCTGAATCCTGCAAAATCCTCCGGCTATGACTGTCAATAGGCTGAGGCAGAGGCAGTGGGAGGATGTCAAGTATATAATCAAGGACTAAATTTATGCATGGCTGAGCATAAACAACACAAGGTCTGGCCCAAGACCTTGACACAGTGTGTACTCCGAAATCAGCAACGCACTTGTAACCTCAATCCTGCAAATTCCTCCAATTTGCAAAAAGGATTTTGGAGGAATCAGGATTCAGGGCGGTTAGGGTTAAAATGGTTTTAAATCATGAATATTGATAGGATTGAGTTCTCTACTCATGAATAACCATATGACTGTTTTTGTCTGTTTGTCTTCTCCCTGTAGCACCAACGACAGCGAGGAAACCGAGGAGTCGCAGCTTACTTAGTTCATTCTTGTGTTGCTTCGGGTCGACGGGTCGAACGCCTCCCACCACAGTCCCACCTCCCGAAGAGAATGGACAGAAGGTACCCAAAACAATATCCGCTCATCGCTTTTTCTCGATATTGTTGAGTATAATTTTTTAAAATTGAAGCTTTGTTAGTTCCTTGTCAAGGCTGGTTGGTTGGTGGTCACAACATTGATGTGACAGTTGAGAGAATCTTTCTGGTCAGCAGTGAACACTGAAGTGAAGCAATCATTTGAAGTGATCAGCGTGGTTTTATTTTTTTGTAGATGGCAGTGTTTCTCATGAATGGCAAAGGGATTAACTTGTATTTCTTTTATTTGATTTAAAAAATTTTTTTTTTCATTAATTACATTCGATTCCCTCATTTGAAACATAATCTTGGGTTGATTCACAGTTGTAAAAAAAAAAAAAAAAAAAAATAGCCCAGGGTCCCTCTTTCCACCCAAAATAGTTCCTATCCAGTGCAAGCTGTGCACACCTCCACACTAAGTTGAAGAAGCTGAGTTTGGGATCTTCCCATCTCCCCTTCAAAACCCCACCCCCCCCCCCCAAAAAAAAAAAACCCCAAGAATATTTTCAGGCATTCTTGTTCACAAACACATGGTGTAAGTTGCACTCATATTCACTAAACCCTTTATGATCGGCAGTTTGGGTGTTATGTTAGCATACACACACACAACGTACAATCAAATATAATTGCACAAAATAAAGTACTCTGTGCCATTGTCAGCACTTGCACTATGTGTTGTACCCTTTTACATCCTGTTTTGCAGTTCTGCACTTGTGTAAATGTATTGTACGCATACATGTAGCATGCAGTTATTTATAGTTGTGTGTCAGTTAAATATACAGGGTGAGTAAAAAAAAAAAAAGAACCCCAAATGTCTGACCATTCTTTTAGTGAAGTTCTGCATGTAGCACTTTCAAAATCTAGGATACAAAAGCCCAATTCATAAGCTTTCTTTTAGTACAAGAATCATTCAAATCACTCATGTACTTCTCAAGTTATGGAGTTTTAAACACAACCACCGTTTTAAAGTTTTGTCCACGGATCACAAAAAAAGGTGTGTGTTCTTTCAGCAAAACAAAAACAATTCACACACATCCTTATGTGATATGTTTTCGTTTTGCAGAAAGAACACTGAACTTATTTGTGATCCGTGAACAGAACCTTAACCCTAACCCCCTAGGCCCTTGTTGCTTACAACCATCCTCAATCCTCCAAAATCCTCCAAAATTTTCCAAAATTTTGCAACTCCGCCTAAATTTTTCAAAATTGTCAGACAGTCCTGCCTCAAAATGCATTCATCCTCAATCCTCCAAAATCCTCCTCATCCCAAAACTTTGCACTCGTGTTTAAATGAAGGATAACCAACGCCAAATCCTTCAAATTCATCAGACAGTCCTGCCTCAAAATGCATTCATCCTCAATCCTCCAAAATCCTCTTGTGCTTCAATCACCATTCATCCTCAATCCTCCAAAATCCTCATGTGCTTCAATCACCATTCATCCTCAATCCTCCAGAATCCTCATTTGATTCAATCACCATTCATCCTCAATCCTCTAGAATCCTCCAAAACCGCCAGGAGGATTTTGGAGGAGTGAGGTGGGTTAGGGTTAAAGTGGCGGTTGTGTTTAAAACTCCGTAACTTGAAATGTACATGAGCGATTTGAATGATTCTTGTACTAAGCTTATGAATAGGGCTTTTATATCCTAGATTTTGAAAGTGCTACATGCAGAACTTCACTAAAACAATGGTCCCGACATTTGGGTTTCGTTTTTTTTTTACTCACCCTGTATTTATGTACTGTTTGTAGATTTGGAAACAGCATGTACATTGTACCACTACATACAAAAGGGGGTGCAGTGTGTGCAAATGTGAGCTTTTGTGCGTGTAAAAAAATCTTTAAAAATGTGTGGAGGTTTGTTAATTGTACAGCTCTGCGAAGCTGAAGGTTTCTCATTCATTGACCCAGTTTCATTATCCTGCTTAAAGGCAAGGTGTAAATAGTTTTTTTGAAGAAGTTTTCGTAGTTTTTACAAATTTTGAACAGAAAAAAAACAACGAATCTTAAACATACAATGTAGCATATGAAAAAGTCCTTAAAAATGTTTATCTTCATCCTAAAAGTAATTCAGTCTGGGCCTCAATCTGTTGCACGCATGCCTTTATGTACACTGTACATGTTGTACATTGAAGTCATATTACATGTGATAGAAATCAGTCGAAATGCAATAACAGATCATTGAAAGAGACCAAGACTTCTGGCTTTATCCTGCCAAGGAATATTGAATGTCTATTAAGTCACAGTACATATCAGCAGGAGCAAACATTTGCAATATTTTAAAAGAACAAATCATTCAGTACTTCAGGTTGACAATGTATGCTTGTAAATTGAAACAGCAAAAAACAAAAAAAATCAACCCTGACCTTCCCACAACCATCAAAATCCATCCCCCATTTTTTTTTTTTTTTTTTGTGGATTTTGGGGGGACTTGGTCCTGCAGGCCTGGTTTGACTAAATATTGATGTAGTATGATGGACTTGGGCCTGGAGGCCTGATTGATTTTTGGCAGACTTGGTCCAGTACTTAGTAAAAATACTTAGTAAAAGTACTCAGTACAGAGTTAGGGTTAATTCACCAAAAGTTCTTGGTGTACGAAAAGCGACGGGTTATTTCCATTACTTTGCAGGATTTGCAGGGCCAGTTTAGAAACCTGACGTATTTGTAGGCAGTTGCTAAAAACAAACTATGGCATTTAAAATTCTCCACATCCTTGTGAGCTCCAAAGCATCTGTTTCGCCAGCGCTTCTCTTTTCACTGCACACGCACATGTATGACTGTGTGCACGTACATGCTGTTCTCACTTGTGTTTGTCGTGGTTTTGCTGTGCTTGATTTCTTCAATTGTTGTGTCCCATTTCCTCATTTCAGCTGCATGAGCCTGCATCAAGCTATGCCCCTAGCTGCCCGGTAGGTGGTCCTTTTGTTGTTGTTTCCTTCTTTGTTTTACTCCTAACTCATTAAAAACAATTGTTGAGAAGGTGGGGGGTTGAGATACATAAAAGAGGACTTTCAAATTTCTCCCTGAAAAATAGATTTCATTTTTTAATTCAAATGAAAAAAAAAAAAATTGGCCCACGTTTACTTAAGTGAAATTACTACTTTACAAGTTCCAAATGATTTCTGGCTTGTTCCAAATCCATTCAGTTCCTATTGGGTAGACTGGTTTCCGCCCCCTGTCTGAATCGATAATGTTTGGAGCGGGAACTGGCATACCAGCAGGGTGGATTTGTTTGTGTGCAAAAGCAACCTGCAAAATAAAACCTTTTATTGAGAGAGATACAGATGTCCAAAATAGATGTGTTTTTTTTTCTGTTAAAGGTAGAGTGGACCATTTGCTGCTATCCAAAAAATAACCGACCAAATTATTGTTAGAAAACTTACCTTGTTTAGAGATAGTAATGACACTAAACTCGCTGTGAAATTATTCCTTCTGGAATGCTGTCATTTTGAAGAATACAATGAAGAAGGTCATTTCCAAAGATGTGTCAAGTGATTCATTTTTAGAAATTTAAATTTTTGTTATTTGGCGAATACCTCAATGGGTGCAATTGTTGACATGACGCACGCGCACGTGCGGTTGCTATTATCCGTCGGTTCAGTGTGTGACAATGTAGCTACAGTCAGATGAATGAGAATCATGTCCCGAATGCCGATTTCGAGATAGTGCCACGAGAGGTTGCAATTCAAAATATGACATGGCAACTTTTGAACTGAAAACGAGATCCAGAGTAATGTATTTTCTCAAAATAAACAGCATTCACAGAGCTTAAAACTTCATCGGGTTAGTAGTGAAGCATCCGTCTTTAGATGTTGAGCACTTCTGTTGTTTCTTTTAAAAAAGAATTAAATACAATTTACATAACGACAAATGGTCCATTTACCTTTTAAGATAAAACATAATTGCTTTGAAAATTCATCATATTGGCAATACATCATAAAGAAAACTGCCAAACAAAACTTAAGTGATTGAGACTATCAAGTTCGCTGTTTGCCAGATGTTTTTCTCGTGATAATATTCACATGACACATGAAGGGACCGTGTGTACTCTAAATCATATAATAGGAGTGTACTGTAAGCTTATCACTCTGCAACATCTGTTCCCATGCATTTTGAAATAAGATCTGTTGAAATTTGACAATTTGATGATCTTGCTACATAAAATTGGAGAATCCTAGATTAAGTGAATAGACCTTGGGTTTTTATTGATGGCGTATATTCCCCAGGGGCTATGTACAGTAATATGTCTTTGGGTTTTGTGGTTTGGTGGTTTGTGCAGTTTACTGGTAGTTCCCTGTAGACCAGCAGAGTTGCATGTGTCCTGCAATGTACTGTACATTTACATATTTTTGCAAAGTTGCTTGCTGTAGCATTCACATTGTCTGCTTATAAATACAATTATACACAATTTACTTTCAGTGATCTTAAAAACAAAGAAGAAATGCCTTTTGGAGGTGGAAGTTCGTTTCTTTTCTATTTTATGAAAAAAAGTGCATGTTACTCTTGTATTTAATGTATACCACTTTGGGACGTGAGATTTTTTACAACTCTGTGTAAGTAGTGGGAATACTTCAACAGTTTGGCTGCGACAGAGTTGTTGCTGTTGAAATTGAATCCCTCACTGCTACAAAATTACATTACCCCACAGCCCTGGGTTTGAATTCGGGCGATTCACAATGCAGTGCACCACCAAGAGTTTGCCATGGAGAGTCTATTTTTCAAGTTTACGGTCGACAAAACATGAACAATTTGAATGAGTGTCAGTAGACAACTTGAGCTAATTTGTTATAGCTCTGGGCACTGCGTTCTGCCGCCTTACAAAAAAACCCAATATTGATACAAAGAAAACAAAAGGGCAAACAGATACTAGAATCATACGCTTACGAAACTACTGACTGGAAAAAACTAACAATTTCAAATGTCTTGCACTGCGAATTTGTCGACCATATCCGACAATGCATTGGGAAAAATGAACTCTCCGTGGCAAAGTCTTGGTGGCGCACTGCATTGTGAATCGCCCAAATTGAATGTTTTATTCATACATGAACCAAATATTGTCAGCAGATATGTTTTACCACCCACACATGTGTGTACATATAACCCCTGTAGTTGGGTGATGAGAAGGGCTTTTCCCTTAATTAATCCTACAAAATCCTCCAAAACTTCAGACTTTTGAAGGGTTATGGTTAAAGTACAACATAGTTGAAGGCAACATTAGTATGAATGCAGTGTGTGTCTCAAAAACAAAAAGTCTGTTTGCAAGCAATAAAATCGTGAGACCACAGACTGCTGATGATGGAAGGGCTTCTTTGTATCAAAGATCGCCCTCAATTGCGCAGACATAATGTGTTTTACTATACATGTTTGTATACATGTTTGCATTCCCCTTGCTCTTCAAAAAAATGTTGTGGTTTTGTTTTTCACCTAACAAATTTTCAGTTGTTATGTTTTGTTTAAACGAAAAGGCTTTATTCTGATTTTGGGCGTCTGCAACCCTCTATAAAGGGAATTTCATTTTGCGCACAAGTGAACTCTCCCTGCGAGAGCCTAATTATTGTCTGGCAGCCAGTTATTCAATTTTTGTAAAGGAATAATTCAATAACTATACGTCGGTAGAATTTTTTGTTGGATGCCTCATTCAAAAGTGAATAACTTTTACATTTCTAGGAAAATAGCAATTTAAAAAAAAATATCTATATTTGAGGTGAAACTCGAAAATAGCGCGGGGAACACATTCCTTAAGGTATGGTTTATGTTGGCAGAGAATGGACTTGAACAGGTCTGCATCTTTTAACTGATAACATCACGCACTTTGTGTGGTTTCAATGAGATTTACACATGTATGCACTTGCCATTGTCAACAACAACCTAAAAATAACCCTTGTTTGTCACTCTGTACAATGTACATGTATGTATGTGTATTGTGTGGATAGCAAGTTTAAGTGAATTTACTGGTTCTACATGTACATGTCTGCGTGTGTGTATTTGATGTGGATCATCCTCTCAAAAGAAAATATGCCTCATGTTGACATGTGCTTTAACAGCAAAGACAAATTTAAAGACATGTCCATATAAAGGCTATCAGCTTCGGTCCAAAAATTGGGTCACCGGTATCAAATGAGCAAAAGGAGCTATGCCATAGCGATTTTTGGCAAGGTACATGTATGCAAATCTAGAGTTGGAAAATGTGTGATAGATTTGCAGTGTCAGCGGTGGCAATTTTTTGGGTGTTATCACTTTTATTTAATTTTTTTTTAACATGGCCGGCAAAATGCTCGTTACCAGATTTATTATATGTGGTAAGAAGCATTTTGGCCGTCATTTTTACAAAAAAGGTGATAGCACCCAAAAAGCTGCCACCACTGCAATGCTATCTCATATTTTCCAACTACAGGGGTGCATACCGGTACCTTGCCAAAAACCACAATGGCATTATTCCCCTCATTTGATACCGACCAAACCCTCATGCTGATGGCCTAATATCATGCTCATTCACTCAGTGATATGCGTGGGAGTTGCACCAGGCATACCATGTTTGATATCTACAAAGAAATACATTAAACTGGCCATCAAGGCCACACTGGAGAAATGCCCAGGACATTGTACATTGTGTTGCACTAGAGGGTGATAATTGCCAGTTTTGTGTGCTCTCTAAATGTACACATTGTGCATCCTTCTAATCTTTGATATTAACCGTCATCAAAGAGATTCCAGTGGTGAAGCATGGGCTTTTTAATTAGTTGTGCTATGTGCACACCCCCCCCCCCCCCCCCCTGCACCATGTGGAATGTGGAAGATCAGGTTATCACGACATGTCTGCGTTATAACGCTATTGGGGTCATACTGTTCAACACAGATGCGTGCCAAAATGCCGAAGGGTTATGTTATCTATGCATCAGTTTAAACAAGCAATTTGTATTAATTGTACATGTGTGAAGACTGATGATTGACATACGTACGTGTATACCGGTCAATGATGGAATCCATTGTACAACCATGCCATTTAAAAAAAACTTAATCAGGTGTTTGTATACTTTGTTCATAGCAAATCTTTTGTGCGTTAGGAAGAAGTGTTGACCGTTATTGATATGTCACATTCTGACATGTACATGTAGTTAACAAAAAATATTCTACCAGTTCTAAAGGTAACCTACATCATGCCTACATGTATGACCAGAATTCAGAAACTTTTCAGGGGAACTTTTCAGCGATAGACACTTGGAAATCCACATTATCTCAGTAGATGTATTTGTTTATGGTGTATATCGAGGACACACATGTGCAACATCATCGGCGAATCGAGGTCAGAAACCGAATCGAGGACTCCTCGGTTGGAAAACGTGTACAAAACCAATGAGAGCTTTTGCAAAAAAGTTAAGTACAAACAAAGGAAAAGGGAAGAGGAACAAAAGAAAATCCTCGATTCACACCATAAACAAACGAGCTAGTACATGTATGTGTACGTAATACCTGTATCATTGTGTTTGGCTTAATAATACCACCCACAAATGAGACATTGACGTATGGTACTACTAGACTAAAAGATGACATTTCTTTAAAATCATTTGTCTCTGCGTAGTCAATTTTTGTTTTAATCTCAACCGTTTGTTTCCCTCCACAGACGACGCACAAATACCTGTTGCCACCGTTACGACAAAGCGACGGCCATAAAAACTGCATAGTCATCGATCTCGATGAAACACTTGTACATAGTTCATTTAAGGTGAGGTGAACATTAAGATATATCTTTGTGCCTGGCCCTCTTTGGGGATTTCTTCTCCGGTAACACATACAGATGAAAGGCCAATTTCGAACTGATGCATTTTTGTATGAGATTGTATTTGGAATTCAATTACTTGTACATGTAGTGAAGTTAAAGAGTTAAAGGCATAGGATCATTTGCACTTATATCCCAACAGTACAACGTACCAAATTATTATCAAAAGCTTATTTGGGTTAGAGATCGTACTGTTACTAAACACAACATGAAACTATTCCATCTGGCTTGCTGTCATTCAGAAGAAATCAAGAAATGTAAGTAATTTCCAACGATCAGTGAATTGTCTTATTTTTGGAGTCAAAAGTTTTATTGACAAAAATCATGTTCCGCGAACAAAGGTTGTGCATAGTTTTCACTGTTTTCTCAAAATTTTAATATCCACTGAGCTGAAACTTCAACAGGTTAGGTTTTGAACATCCTTCTTTGGATTTTGAGTGGCGTTATTATTGGAAACGGACAAAATCCATGAAAAGCAAATGATCCTATATGCCTTTAAATTGTGGTGTTTTTTTTTCTCCAAAACATGTACCATGTATCACATCAATTTCCTCACTTTCCAATGTGTTTATACTGACCTTATACAATCTAGTGATTGATTCCCCTTGCTCCACATTTCACAGATAACTGTACAAAAAAAATATGTTTTTGCTATAGATACAAAAAACATGCACAGCAGTTTGTTGAAAAAGTTTTAAAAACAAATTTCTCTCTGAAAACCAGTGAACATCACATCGAATATGGACATCAATGTTTTGAACTACACGTACATGTACATGTACCTGTACCGTAGCCTTGAAATGAACTTTAACTTGTCACACTTTGGCAAACATCTCTGTCACTACCTATGGATGTGTGAAGTTAATTCCTATTAACAAATTACATATTTTAATCCAAATATAAATTCAAACCAATGCATTGGAAGCTCATGGTAAATACACATGTCCACTGTACATGTACCGGTGTGTACTGTAGGCCTACATCATGGGAAATTGTTCCTGGGCACACACATGCAGTGGGCCCTTTACATGCACAAAATGCACATGTACATGTATGCCAACAAGGCTGGTACTTTGCACTTTAAATATGATACAGCCCCATACTGATTGCATCCTAGTCTAACCATGAAGTGGCGGGAGACCGGTGACTCATGTTGCTCCCCTACATGTGTGTGAATGCTGCAAGTCCATGTACATGTACATGTATGCACTTTGTACTGTGCATGTACACTCAACCAAAACAGAAAGTCCCCCCCCCCCCCTTCCAATACCTTTTTGTCTAACTCACAAACTACTGAGCACCTCTCGCTCAAATAACAACGGATCAGTACAGAAATTCCTTAGCAATCCAGCCATACTCTTTATTTGGCCCAAAACAGTGATAATGTACATACGAATTTATGCAATTTATGAGAAATGATGCCGAAAGCGCTGCACTTTTGTAAACGTGCACGTTGTGGTTCACACTCACCTTGCACGTATACAAAAGTGCAACTTTTTTCCGGTACCATTTGTTATAAATTGCATAAGTTAAAGTTGGTCATTATTTTGTTGGCTCATTCCATTTAATAGTTTTTGCTATTAAATTATAGATTGAACTTTATTGTATGCAATCCGTGTGCATCTGAGTTGCTTAGTTTTTGAGAAATTCAGTTCCAAAGTTATTCGTCACTTCGTGAAACAGATTTTTATCATGTTTATCCTATGTTATACAACGCGCGTAATAGTGGCCGTGTGCCAGATGCGGAGATACGCCGGTTCGTGAAACACTAAATTCCAATTTTCCATGTCGACGCTCCTTTTGTGACGTCATAGCACTATGGGAATTAGTGTAAAGTGGCGTATCGGGATACGCCACTTCGTGGTGCAGCATTTTTCATTTTTTAGAGATACGCCACACAGTCTAATTAGCGTTCTTAGTTAATTAGAACTCCGATCGGAATAAAACTTTCTGAGAATGAGCACTTTGATGAAATAATAACGTTAATGACAAAAACTCAATTTGGCAAAAAATCGAGATACGCCGGTTCGTGATGTGACCAACGAATTCTTCCCGTCTGTGCCTCTGTCCTTTCACTCCTCAACCCACACCATTCAGTATAATCCGTCGACTAGACACTCTAGAATAATTCCTTGGCTGAAAACATAAACGAATCAAGAACTGAAGAAAAGAAATCTTTGGATCAAAATAAGTGCACCTCAAATGCCATTGCGGTTGTTTCCTGTTGGAATTGTACTGATTTGGCAAATTGTTCTTCAGGCCCCAGACGCCCCAACAACTCTAATATATGTCATTGCCACCCACACAGTATTCACTCTGATTTGTATCTGCCCTGTTTTTGTTGCTGGTATCAGTTTCAGATTTCACGCCACATTTACGTACATGTGCACGTATGTACTATATTGGTACATGTACTTCTGTTATTCAGGTGCAGTGCATGTTTTAATTTGTTGTTTTCATGTCTGTTTTCATCTGCAGACTTTGTCGGCATTAATTGTAAACAGGGGGATATACATGTATGTTCATGCTTATGGTCTGGTACATGTATTGGCATTTTACGTATGGTTCCCTCCACAACGTGTACATACCGGTATGGAGGTGTACATGTACATGTACATGTACACGTACACATGTTCTGTATGGTTCCCACCACAAAACTGTGTTTGTGTGTGTATCTAATATAGATATTACATGTACATACATGTACATTGAGGTGTATGCACATGTGTATACGTACCGGTACATGTACATGTGTAAATACCTATTTACATGTCTCCAATTGTCCATGTACATGTACAGGTACATGTACTGCACATGCCTGCTCATCTTCATGTACATGTATGTACATACATACATGTACCTAAACATGTACATGTATGTACCGTTACATGTACCGTTACATGTACCGGTACGTGTATTGCACATGTACGTGTATTGCACATGTACGTGTATTGCACATGTACATGTATTGCACATGTACATGTATTGCACATACATGTATTGCACATGTACATTTTGTAGCATTCATACAGACAGTTATGTGCTGTACTTTTAACAGGCCCTTCATGTAAATTATCCTTTTGCAAATTTCTACGTGTACATAAATTACAAACCCGGCCTTTTAGCTAGTGCAGTGTAACTGTAAACATGTCACATGTACATGTACATGTACTATACGTTGAAACTACATGTAGTTCATCACTATTTACCATCGTTCAGTGATAACAGGTCAATGTTCAATATTTCTCACTGAACGTATTTGGTATATAAACACCCAACACCATACATGCCATATGCGAGCAGTACTTACAAAACGTTATCAATCAACGATTAGAACTGACGTCATGGGCTCCAGTATTTATTAGGGGGAAAAAAAAAGCAGAATTTAATTATTAATTTAGAATGTTGAGAACCTGTACATAAGTCAAACGGAAGAAATTTCAGACGGTGGCAAGATGACATGTACTTGTACCTTACCATTGGAATGTGGGAGCTTTGCATTTACAAAAAGAGTATAGAAAATGGTACAAAAAGCAGTCTTTTGATCCGATTTACAGACCTGGTATTAAATCACTCTGCCGTGTCTTGGTGCATTTTATCATCATAGCTGACAATTCCTCATGAAATGCTACCTTGTACATTGTACACGTATGTAAGTTAAAAAATGAAAATCACCATTCTGCAATTTGTCAATTTGTGTAAAGATAGATTTGTCTTTATGGAAAGCATGTTGCTCTTATCTAGAATTCCTATTTTGATGGGAACTCAATAACCCTAACTCCCTAGGCATTTTTGCTAGGATGCAACCTCAATCCTGCAAAATCCTCCAACTGCCTCCTTGTAAAAATTGCAGCCTCAATCCTGCAAAATCCTCCGTCATTTCTTGAATGTGGTTATTGAAGGGGTGGCCTAGATTAGTATAATCTAGGCCTCTAAATTTGTGCATAGCTTAGCATAAACAACACAAGGTCTGGCCCAAGACCTTGACACAGTGCATCCTCCAAAATCAGCCACATACTTTTGCCATATAGCCTCAATCCAGGAAAATCCTCCATTTTGCAAAGAGGATTTGGGAAGGTGAGGGTTAAAAAAAGAAGAAGAAGAATTTTAAAATGTATGTATTATATTTTGTACATGTATCATACCGGTACATGTACATGTAGAAGACATTTTTTCTTGTTTTTGCACTGAACACAATCACATACTTTTGTTCAATCAATATATTATTGATTTTTTTTCTTCTTCTAACAGTTGCTGTTTACATGTGAAATATTTCATCAAATTTGATTTGTGACCACGCAGTGGCACTCCGCTTAAATGGATAAATATTAAAATGACCACTCAACAAATTATTTATGTTGATTGAACATGGACATGTACATGTAGTTTCTACTCTGTTGTCTATTACTTAGGCCAAAAATATGAATGATTAATAACAAGTGTATTATTGAAGAGTTTAAATATGGACATTGATATGTACATGTACATGTACATATACATATGTTTGACAATTACAAAAATGTAACATGTTGGGGGGCCTACTGACTCAAAAATCTGCACTAACATGTACATGTAGGGCTGATGTATATGTATAGTACTTACAACACAAATATAAAGATCTGTTGAATTGCCAATACTGCTCATGTACATACATGTACATGTACAGTGTACATGTATGTGCAAATTTTTCACCTGTATGAAAATAGGACATGTGACAAAAATACCATTTAACAGAAAAAAAAATAATAATTGACGAGTTGAAGGGGATACAATTTGAAGGCAAAGAAAGTTTCGCCACTATTTATTTCCCATATGAAATAACACAAGCATTTTAACATGTCTTCAAATTGTACAAATGTACCATTTTTCCGTGTGGTCAATTTCAAAACAAGAGATACAAACATGCGTATGTGTGTAAACATCAGATAAATGGTGCACATTCCCCTTTTGTTAAAAAAAATAGTCGCATTTTCTATTTGAACACAATCTAATAAACACATACATATCGCAAATACTGCATTTTCTACATTACGTAGACTCGTGCTTTCTTGTCGCCTCTGAGCAGTAGCAAATATAATTCGCATCTGTCCAGTTGCCAGTTCATGAATAATTAACTCTAGTTTCTTGATGTGTGTGTGTTTTTTCCTTGCAGCCCATTAGCAATGCAGATTTTATTGTTCCTGTAGAGATTGACGGTACGGTCCATCAGGTAAGAAAAGGCAGAATTGCCATCAGAAATTTTAAAAATAATGAAGATAAAATTTGGCCTGATTGTAAAAAAAAAAAAATTGGCCTGATAATAAGTAAAGTCAAATTTAAGTACTGTACGTGTACTTAATTCCTTATCATAATTTAAAGCATTCGGACAGACATACTCTGTTAAGATACGGATACAAGTGTTGTTGCATAGACTTACATGTATCCAGGGACCTTAATTAGAATCCATTACTGATGCACAGGTTGTACATGTACGTTATGTGCACCCAGTTGCCCTTAACCAGGCATGAGATATTTCAGGACTTCTGTCTGAAATCAGACTTTTTGAATCTGAGAGAAAGATATTATTAGCATAGAAAGGTGTGCATCTTTCAGACATTTCATAAATTTGCAGACTTTTTTTTTTTTTTTTTTTTTTTTTTAACATGCATTAGCAGCGGAATCTTGTTTCAAGACCCCAGAAATTACGCACATGTGCTCTCTGTTTGCTCAAAATGTTTAAGTATCCACTGAGCTAAAACTTCAACAAGTAATAGTTGTTATAAACCCTTCTTAAGATTTTTGAGCAAGTTTAAAACAAACAACAAAATGCACAAAGAAGCAAATGGTCCTGTTTACCTTTTAGGTATCAATCCAAGTTTTGAATTGGATCACTGGATGACAGGACATGTTAATTTGACATTTTTGAGATCAGTGTTGCACAGAGCTTCGTAAAATTGAAGCTTCTGTCTTTGCCGCCGACAACAGCTGCAGAACATTGCTCGCTTTGCACCGTCGCACTCACAGCTACCCTTGGTTGTGACATTTCCAGCTTGGACTGTGCAGAACTTGCTGGTAGAAAATAACCTATCCAACGACCTGAATTTATTTAGCGATGTGACCTGTCTAGCTTATTTTATTGGTCCAGCTGTTGACACGAATTGGAATTGATTTCCAACAATTTCTAGGTCTTTTTTATAATGTGAGAGTGATTTTATGCAGTGCTGGACAACTTTAACATACATGTACACTGTAATACCCTTTATCAAAATCGGGGTCTGCGGGTAATTTTGCAGGTTGAGGGGTTCGATTCCCGCCTGGGGGCTGTGGTGCGTGTGCCCTTGGGCAAGGCACTTTGTCACTCATAGCGTCTCTTCGCCCAGGAGTAGATTGGGTACCTGTGAGGGCAGAGATGAGTATTGCGGTTGATTCTAGCTGCTTCGCGCTGAAATGGCATAATCTGAGCTGTATACTCCCCAGGGAGCTGAGATTGTCTTTAGAATGTTTCATGGGCCCAATGAGCAGGGTAATAATGATGTACCTAGCGCCTTGAGCACCAATACTGGTGGATATAATATACATGTGCGCTTTATGTACACATTATTATTATAATAATTTTTACTAATTGTAATATCTTCCCTGCACCAATGTTCCTGTATTTGCATATAAAACCTTAACAATTTGACTGTAAAGTGAATTTTTTGTTAATGTTACTATACATGTACTTGATCACTGTTTGTTCATGTATCGTTTAAATTATTTAGGCGGAGCATTTAGGAAGAAATATAGCAATAAGTGAATACAGTTTTTTAAACCCAATTCTTAATTTCTTAAGCCCGGTTCATACTTCACGCGAAAGCATGTGCGAAGCGAAATTCATGTCGTCAACAATGGTAGACGCGCTTCGAATGTATTGTTGACATCACGAATTTCGTTTCGCTTTCGCGTGAAGTATGAACCGGGCTTTATTCACCACCACAGCTTGTTAACAATACCCTTGCCAAATATTGTCTGGATTAATTAAAGCTTGAATAGGCATGCGTTGTCAGCAATGACCAAAGATCTTCAAAAATGTTGCTGATTTTTTTTTTTCCAACTTTCCCAACATGGGAGGATTGCAATACTCTATTCCCCTTTCTGCACTTTTCTACCCCCCATTTTTTTAATCCCCCCATTTTTTTTATTCGTGCGCTGCTGTTAAAGTTGCCAATCACAAACGTTAGCCAAACATTAGATGTACAGTGTACCAGTACCTGCAAATTTTCAAAGTATCGACTGATTTTGAACTTTGTCCAGAGGTGCATATTGTAAATTTAACGATACCTGCACAGTTAACGATTGTGTTCATGTTGATGCTTTCATACAGAGTAACTCATTGCCTGTGTAATTAAAATAAGCAGTGCAATTTGCTGTTAACAGTTTTTTTTTTAACAGTTAATGAGTATTCTGATGGGTTTCATTTACAATACATTAAACTCTAATTGATCTTGTTTTCCATTTCTTGGTAGGTGTACGTTTTAAAGAGACCGCATGTGGACGAGTTTTTAAAACGAATGGGCGAGCTCTACGAGTGTGTTCTGTTCACTGCAAGTTTAGCAAAGGTAGGGTTGCAAGTGTTTTTATGTTGTCTGTCTGAAGGCGATAAATAAAAAGATTCCGTGTAGCTTTTTCAGTCATGGTATATCTGAAATTGTACCACGGAAAGGGCCTGTCTGTCACAAGCTTGCGAATGCTGGGAATTCACAAAAGTTGAACACATCTCAACTCTGGTCAATTTACACAAAGACGTTTCTTCACTTGAAAATGCGTCACATGTGCATTTGTGTGAAGTACATTTACGAACGGCTTTTAAGCCGCATTTGTCTGTACTTGTATGGCTCATGCATGTGTATACAGATTTAAAATGAATAAATTAAAAATAGATTTCATTACTTTCACTGATTGGACGTATAGCGATGTAGCTCTCTATTTTCTTATGTTTATACATCTCACAAGTAAAGCTTACTAATTCAATTGATATGTAAGTGCTGCCAAAATTCAGGAAATGATTACCATAGTAAAACAGTTCGATGGAAAATAGCCATACTCAAGAACATACATCAAGGGTGTTAATCGCTTCTCAAAAGTGTGGGGGGGGGGGGGGGGGACATACCTCGATCGGCACTAATGCGAGCACAAGCCCTAACGGCGTGGGCTCCGGGGCCCGCTTAAAGGGCCTCGGAAAATTGTTGGATTCTAGATGCTCTGTGGTGCAATTTGAGGCAATTTCTGACCACTTAAAACAATTTTTGTGAGCAAAAGATCATCTTTTAAACATTGTTTTCGAGTTTGGAGTCATTGAATCAGCTATTCTGAGCTGTAGAATCATTATGTTGGCTACAATTTTTATTCAGGGACGAAAATAGTGGTCGGGGGACTTGTCATTCCCCCCCCCCCCCCCCCCACCGATTGACCCCCATGACATACATGTATACAGCCTTAACACGATGTATCTCTCATCCAAAACCAAAAAAATTTTCAGATGATGTATTATTGCTTCAACCACTGATTCAACAGTGGCGACATAATTGCAATAATTTTATACTCGGACAGAAAATACCCACTTAAAGTTTATATACAACATTTGCTTTTGCTGTAATTTCAGAAATGGATGGATTTGGGGTTCGCTTTTTATTGCAATCATTGTTACACTGACCTGTTTAAAGTTTTGTTTTCAAAGATGATGGAAAAACCAAGAAAAAAAGTGCTGTTCCTGTAGTCTGGTTCCCTGACCCTACTTCAGACAAAACGCATCAGGGAATTGTCAGGTCAGGGAACCAGACTAGCTGGCTTGCACCCGTTCTCGGATGTGTAACTGAAAGCAATGTGTATCTCCCATACTGACTGATCCACCTTTTTTTTCTTTCTTTGACTTAACAGTATGCAGATCCCGTAGCTGATCTCCTGGACAAGAGCAGTGTGTTTAGGTCACGGCTCTTCCGAGAATCCTGCGTGTTCCACAGAGGCAACTACATCAAGGTAGGACCACCACAAGTCAGGGACGACATAAGTCAGGGACAACATACATGAACGGTGGCCCTGGGGTCTCTATTTTCACTGCTAACATGAACACAGAAACTGCCAAAATACAGCCCTTGAGTCATGAATAATTTTGTTTTTATTTTACTGTATTTTTTTTACACGTGGAGAAACTTAATGCATCAACACAGGACAAGAGACCACTGTCTACTGGATTCTTCTTTAACCCTAACCTTCCCAAATCCATCAAAATCCAATCCCCCATTTTGGGGATTTTGGTAGGCAAGCCATGAGTACCAAGTCCATCAAAATCCACCTACATGTATAGTAGTGGTGGTCTTGTGGTGGATTTCAGCGGATTTGGTCCTAAAGCATTATGTGAAGCAGGGTCAGTGATGGCATTGGGCAGACTTGGTCCAGTACTTTATATAGTAAAAGACACTAGGGAGCTACCTAGGGTTAATCTCAAAAGATCGTGAAAAATATCTCAAATGTGACCCTCGAGTACAAAACCGGTCACTTGGACCAATTTTTATACCCGGAATTTTGGGCACATTGGAAAGGACATTGAATATAAGCTTTCCAATGATCTATAGAATACGGAAATCGGGCAAAAGCTGTCAGAGTTATAGTAATATGTTTTCAGTTCCCAATTCCCAGGCCTCAGAAAGTTTTTAAAAATTGAAAAATTTGTCTTTAAAAATTCCAAAATCAACTCCTCAAGAAATTCACAAACTTACACTTCATTGAAAGTGAAATATATTCGTTATTGTAGCTTTTAACGCCTAAATCTGAATTCGGATAATTTTTGCCTGTACATTGTTTTCTAGGCTGTACATGTATCTAAAAAAAATGGCAGTAGGACCTCCAACTGGTTTTGTACCGGAGGGTCACAAATATTAATATTAATTCCTTAATTGTTTTCCCCTCACAAATTGTACCTCTTCCAAGCCTGGTGTAATAATTACAGAGTGTTTGTGTGGTAACCCTGGCCACTTGTTTACTTTGCTCATGAGAAACCCCATGCATTATGTACAGCGGTTAAGGCTGGCCTTGAAACCGCAGTCAGGAAATGGACCAAGCAGGTTCAATATCCTGTGTGATAGACTGCCTATCAGATACTGTGCTGATGCACTGAAATGATGTGGCTAGTCATAAAAAAAACCCGGATACTGACAGAAGTAGACAGGTGGATTGGCTGTGAAAGGACTCTAGAGGGCTCACTCTGGCTTAAACATGCATTCCAAGTGCTAATTAAGAGTTTCGCCTCAAAGAATTGCTGTTTTTCTAATAGTATACAATTTATTCACTTTTGAGAGAGACATTGAACGAAAAAAAATCCACGGATGTTTAGTTATTAAATTATTTCTTCACAAGAATCAAATTGTTGGCTGCCAGACAATAATGCGGCTCTCGTAGGGTGGATTTGTGCGCAAAATAGAGGGCACAGACCCACAAAGTCGGAATAAGGCGTGTTTTTTTTGGGTTTTTTTCCTTTTTGGCAGGGGTGGGGGGGAGGGTTGCACCTGTCTAGAATCACAACAAATCCTAGGACTTAATTGGAGATTAAGTCCTAGTGGTTAGTGTTTGTGACTCATAATGATTATCATCCACCTGCTGCCAATATGCTGTGTCCTTGGGCAAGCCACTTAACTCAATCTTGCCTCTCTCCACCCTGGAATACGGTTGATACCATTATTTGTGGAGTAACCATTTTATCCATGGGAATAGAAACATTCTCGATCATTTCCAAACAAGGGAACCTGAAGTAAACACGGCCAAGTGAGCCATTTGACGTAATTTAGAATAGATTTTTCTTCTTTCAACCAGTCAAAAATGTTCCCCTCTTTGTCAGGTGCCCATGGATAAAACTAAAATTGTAAATTTACTAACTCTGTTCGTTCTCTCTTGTTCAGGACTTGAGTCGACTGGGCCGCAAACTAGAACGAATCATCATTGTAGATAATTCACCCGCATCTTACATCTTCCATCAAGACAACGCGGTAAGAATAACACAAATTTAATATCATTTGAGGTGGAAAAATTCCTCTTTTTTTCTACTCGAGTTCTCCCCAGTTTAAAAAAGATTGATATTTTTTGTCGAACACCTTGAAAATCGAAACCATTCTGATACCTGAGACAGTTTACCAATTCCTATTGGTCGAGATCCCGTCATGTGGGTGGTTTTAAAATGCCAGTAAGTGACCGCTGCGTTCTGTGCCACACGCGCAGTCATGCCAGTTTCCATATCAGAAGATGTTTAGCCCTACGCGCGTGAGGCGTTAACACAAAACATGAAGCAAAATTATTAATAAAAATGGTTGGAAATTTATGAATGTTCGACTTGTTGTGAACTTTTGACCTAAAGGAATTCATGAATGGGAATAAATATGTGCTTGCTCGGTATTAATCAGGTACGTTTAAAACGTACTTGTTTAAAACCAGCCAAGCACATACATGTTTGTATTCCCTTATTAAAAATTGAGATGTATTCGTGATGTTTGTCCTAAAATGAGTCAGTACAAATCCACTTCAAAGTCCGCATTGCAAATACTTAGGTAATTGGCAGACATCTTGGGGTGTTGATTACATGTAACTACATTGAAAACCAACAGGCATGTTGTATATAGAGGGCAGGGTTTTGATTTATTGAGGGAAATTTTGTGGTAAAACCACGATGAAGACGACAGAATGCAACTCAAAAATGAAGATGGCGAGCACCGTGATGCACCGTGAGCGCATGAAACTGCGTCGATTCGTATGGATTCAACTGAAAACGCATACAAAAATCACATTTTTTCCCCGTAAGAAACTGTTCAAAATTACAAGAAATGGTTCAAAAGTACTAGAAATGGTGTAATTAGAATTAAGAGAACTCTGCGTAAGGTTGAACATGTCATTTTATAATGATAAAAAACACCCTTGACTCTAATTTGACCAGAATTAAAAGAGGGGCCCGCAACATACGTATTCCTCGCACTGCAAGGAAAGCAGGAGATAAGGCCCTCACTGTGGCAGGTCCAAGAATCTGGAACTCCATCCCACAATCAGTTCGATGCTCCACCTCAATAGATATGTTTAAATCCTCACTTAAGACCTACCTGTTCACTTGATTCATGTTAATGTTCTTTTTGGGTTTTTCCTACTATCAGAGGTGTCCGTGGTTGCGCTTTGTAACCTTTGGAAAAGGCGCGTTATAAATGTTATTATTATTATTATTATTATTATTAACTACACAGTCGTTGGTATTGCGACATATGTATGGTGTACTGCGATCGTGGTAAAATGTTTTCCAGCATTGGAGCAAAAACCCATTGGCATCCCTGCAACTACTGTTGCAACTGAGTCCATCTTAAGACTGGTCACTAATAAAATGCGGGTCATTCACAAGCACAGTCCGAAAAGTGACCAAAAAATAGCTCACGACGTGTTTTGGGACCAGATGGCTAGTGATTAACATTTAATTGACTCGTGATTTGTTTGTGATTCACTCTTAATTGACTCGTGATTTGTTTGTGATTCACTTTTAATTGCCTCGTGATTTGTGTTGCAATTGAGTTGTGATTGACTTGGGATGGGTTTGTGATTGACTTTTGATTGAGACTTTGTGTGGGGAGTGTGGCCTAGTGGTTAGGGTTTGTGACTCATGGTCAGAGGGTCAGTGGCTCGAATCCAGCTGCTGGTCATAGGTTGTGTCCTTGGGCAAGCCACTTCACCCCTACTTGCCTCTCTCCACCCAGGAGTATAAATGGGTACCTGATTTAGCTGGGGAGTAACCTGTGATGGACTAGCATCCCATCCAGGGGGAGTAGAAATATTCTTAGTCATTTCATGCCACTAAAACTGGAGATAAACGCCGGCCTGATGGGCCACATTGGCTTGTGACAGACTTTCCCTTCATACTTTTTATGATTAAGACTGATGTTCACTTTGCGCCCGTATCCACAGATCCCTGTGTCATCGTGGTTCGACGACATGGGCGACAGGGAACTCTTGGATGTCCTTCCGCTTCTAGATCGTCTCGCCAAAGAGGACGACGTCTACAAAATCCTCCGAAGGGAAAACCACAACCATATAGTTGCATAGCACCCTCTCAATAGGTTGCTGTCTGTTTTTTTTTTTTTTTTTTTTGGGTTCCGTTTGTTTTTTATAAAGCTCTACAGTATTTTGTAAATGAATCAGATTGAATAGGGAAGTGGGGTGTTTTTTTTTGGGGGGGGGGGGATTTACTCGACATGAAATAGTTGTAGGGTCCTGTATGCTATTTATAACTACAATCATGGCACAAGTCAACCTCGTCCCCAGGGTGTCGAACAGAACGCGCCCATCACTACCTGCTCTCTCACCCTGGTATTGGATCATTTGCATGTGCAAGATTTTTGAACACGTATGCAAATGAGGAATAGTCTGGTGCCTGGATATGCGTTACATTAGCGTTTGTTTTTGTATACGGTGTATGGGGTAAAATCAGAGTCAATTTGTCGCAGCGCGAGCACGGCATGAGTTACGAAAACATAATTTTTTTTAAAATTAAACTGTTACAATCTTCTCGAGACAATATGCGGTATCACATTTCATATTATATGAACAAATTGGAAAGGAAATAAGTATTTTTGAGAAGACGTGGACGAATGATCGCGAAAACACGCACTGCACGTTGTGAATAATAACACCAAGTACACGATAAAAATCCATTACTAGCCAATTGCAATATCGAATCAGGATACAGGAAAAAGTTTTCAATCCAGGGCTTACTATTGGAAACCAGGTTGGAAATAAAGTAAGCACTGGGGACGAGGTTGGACACAAGTGTTTTTGTACCTGCCCATTGTGTATGCTGTTATTTGTTTTTCAGTGGCACAGATTGTGAAACAAAGCATACTTTGTTTCCTAATTGAGTTGTAGAGTCCCCCTGCAGAGTACCCTCGTCCTTAAAGGGAATATACAACATTTGCAAACATCGAAAAATAAAACTACCAAGTTTTTGCAAAATACCTTAATAGGACGTTGGTAAATGACAGTCTAAAGCATCCTGTAAAATTATGGCACCTGGTATACTGTCATTTTCAAGAAAAGTGGTATTTTTGTATCAATTTCCAACGCTGATCGGCCGATCAGCGTTGGAAACAACTGGCTTTTTTTCAAATACTGGCCCCAATTGACTATTGCACTTGTTTGCAATCGATTACAAACCTATGAACGGGTACAAGCCAGCTAGACTGGTTCCCTGACCTTACAATTCCCCAATGTATGTAAACTGCTCTGTTTCTTCTTATATGGAGTCAGGGAACCAGACTACAGGTAAATGATCGTTTTTCTTGGTTTTTATAGCATTTTCGAACCCAAAACCTCCAAAAAGTCAGTGTAACTATATTTGCTTTATATTTCCAATCCCCCAATTCCATCCATTTCTGAAAATTACAGCAAAAGCAAATGATGTATATTCCCTTTAAATATCTCTTTCCTCATAGCAAAAATAAAATTGACTAAGCCCACTGACATCCGTAATTTGCAAAGAATGCATAGAGAATTTTTTTTTTCCAGTATCTGAAGTGATTTGCTTGGAACCTTAAAGGTTTTGGGGTCTCTGCCAAATGGTTTCAGGATCATTGGTCCCAGTGTTTGCTTTGAGTGCTAATAATGCCAGGTAGCGGGTACCAGTCATTATTGCACAGCAGCATTGATGGCATGGATGTATACCAACATTTGCTTTGATGTTATTTCATATGGGCATTTAATACGGCAACTTTCGTTCCAAGTGATTCCAAGGTTTGTTTTGTACTCTGAAGCCAGTCCAAAACATCAAGACAGATTTTATTCTTACGCTTGTTCAAAATATCCCGGGGCCATTCTCATTGAGCTACTCGGTACAGAAATCGCTGGGCGTAGAAAACATATGCCCTCTGTCCTGGCTCCCTGCTGTACATCCAGATATGCACAGCTGTTGGTAACCAGTGAGCGAACCTACATCGGTAAGCTGGTCTGCAAAAAAAGTTGACTTATTTGGTACAATCAGTTAAACATTACTCGGGTTAACTATTGTTAACAGTGACTACTGTTATCAGTGGTTAACCGTAACTGTGGTTAACAATGGTTAACCATAAATATGTTTAACAGTTGTTAACCATAATGTTTGTTAACAATGGTTAATAGTGGTTAACCATGATTTAACATAGTTCTTGATCAAGCTTACTGCATTCTATAGAATGTGGTTAACTTAATGATGTGGCGTCTTGAAGCAAAACTTGAAAATTGACAAACAAAAGAATCCCCCAAAGCAATTTTTTTTTTTTTAATTTTTGGTGCCAATGTATTCACAGGTCTAGTCAATGAAATCTCTGTGGGACTGTTCGATGAAACACTCCTTAAAAATGTCAGTATGTGCTCGTCAACTCTAAGATAAACCCCAGTGAAACATTTGTGGTTGAAAATCCTGTTCTTTGGTCAAGGCGTCCTGTAGAATACTGCAGAGTAGCTTGAATGAAAAAAAAAAATTTAAACCCGCCAAACTATTGTACAAAGTTTTTAAAATGAATTATACGAAATGGATGAATTAAATAATCAGAGTGTAATGTATGTGGGGTTAGGTTCACATTGTTACATGTAGCTTACTGGTGATGCTTTTGCTCACTCGGAGAGTATACAAAAAGATACATGTACTTAAAAATCCTAAAAATGGGGTGCGTTTTAAATCATGGATGAATTTAATCCTAGTTTGATTTTTGTCCGTTTTAATTTTTGTATGATTATTATCTGATCGTTGCTATCAAAGATAATTGATGTGTTCAAATTTTTAAAAGGGAAGTTTACAACAACAAAAAAGGAAGGAAATATATAGATAGTAGTAGTTTTGAAATTGAAATACAGGGGAATTTTTTTTTCTTTTTTCTTTGGGCAAGAAAATGTGTGCTAACCTCAGAGCTGAATATGGGAAGCTGATTGTTTTGGGGGGAGGGGGGTAGGGGAATTGACAAATGCCTGTGAAATTTTGAAGAAAAAGTTTCTAGTATTGGTCACCCCCACTTACTTTTACCTGTTTCTGAAAACCACTGGCAGAAGTATAAAAGCAAAAATGAACAATGTTTGAGTGAATTTTTTAAAAGGCACTAGATTATTTAATCGAGCGTTGATCTACAGATTTTGTGAAAACTTAATCTAGCGTTGATCTACAGATTTTGTGAACTTCCTCCTTAAAAAAGGAAAAAAAAAATCCAGAGCGTGGAAAAGTCACGCTTGTGGAGATGCGGGTAAATGTATACAGTTTGCGTTTGTTCGTCAACATCGGAAAAAGTAGGATTTTGAGCTACGCTTGGCGAGATTTGGGAGACTTAACTTGGAAGGATGAAAATACTAAACTCATACCCCAATGTGGTACAAAACGAGCTTTGGTACAATTAAAAAATTATGAAATGAATGAAAAGTAAAGTCTCGTCCAACTCTCTTCCAACAAGATTGCTCGAAGCTTGCGTTAGTCTAGAACACAACGATTGCACTTGATGTAGTTTGTACATATATAAAAAAAAAAAACATATATATGACTGTAAATTGGTGTGGCCTGTTCTGCAGAGACAACCAAATTATTTTTCCTACTGATTTTTCTATGCGAAAAAAATGACAAAAAAAATTCATGGGGGAAAAAAATCAGTTATTAATCGCAGTTTTTTGTTGATTGTTGTGAGATTTTTTGTCTTAGAGACCAGTGAATGATTTTTTTTTTAAAGTGAAGACCACATGTTGAAGTAGGTCATGTGGTTTGGCGTGGACAATGGAATATCCCATAGAATATTATTGTGATGATGATATATATATATATATTTCCCCGCAGGAGTTGTATATGACTAATAATGAGCATAGCAGTAACATGTATAGGATATTGGTTTTTTTTCTTTATCTGAACTGTCTTGGGCTCTCGTCAGAGAAGAAACGAATATCGACGGGGTTCTCTAGGTAGTGCTACAGAATGGTTGTAGTAGTCTGCAACATAATTGTAACAGAAAGGGTGTAGTAAGTTGGCAACAGAAAGGTTACAGTCAGTTTGCAACCAAATGGCTAAAGCTTGTTACAAATTGGCTGCAGTTTGCAACAGAAAGGTTGTAGTAAAATTAGCAACAGAAAGACTACACTCAATTTAAAACACAATTACAACAGTCTGCAACAGAAACACTGTAGTTAGTTTGCAACAGGCTAGCTTCAGTTTACATCAGATTTGCTACAGTTTGTAACAGAAAGGTTGTAGTAAAACTTGCAACAGAAGACTACAATCATTTTGCAACCAGTTTGCAAAAGAATGGCTATTGTCAGTTGCTGTAATCAGTATGCAACAAAATAGCTTCAGTTTGAAACAGCTAGGGCTACAGATCACAGAAAAATAGCTGTAGTCATTTGGCAACAAAATACCTGCAACGTTGATCAGTTTGCAACTGAATAGCTAGAGTTTGCAACAAAATTGGTATAATCTGCAACCGAATCGTTGTCGGTTGGCAACAACTTCAGTGCAAAGCCTTGGCAATGATATGGCGGCAAAATTGGTCTTTTTGCAACGTGCTGGAGTTTGTGCTAGTGGCTGCCTTTTGCAACAGAATTGTTTTAAACAACATAATTGTCATGATGTGCATGTACAGTTAGCCTGTCTGTCATATGACGGCCAATCTGCAGAATTTCCCCACTTTCTTTCTGACGAGAGGCCTAAAATATTTGTTTCCAAAAGGAGTTATTTTGCTAGAAAAACACACCTTTTTATTATCGATATTGTATTTATCCTGTTTGTGAAACATCCTTATATTGATCTGCGTGAATTACTGAGTCTTTGTAATATATTTTTTTTCTTTTAAAAATTATCCAGAAAGTAGAAATATCTAGAAATACAAAACAGAATATTACAATGTTGAACACCTATTAACCAAATGCGTGTTTAGCAAGGAGCACTAATTCTTAGGTGTGGAAGTGTACCATACATAAACAAATAATATTTGAACAATACGAAAAAGAAAACACATTAGTTCTGTATCCCTAACCAAACCTTAACAATTAAAAAGGAAAAAAAATGAGCGGTAAAACAAAATGGACTTGCATTTGGCCGCACTCAACATACTCTTTAAGCGCCATCAAATTTCTAATTTTCCTAAACCAAAGAATGTGTTTCTTTTTTAGTTTTGGTTTGTACATTTTGTTTTCAAAAATTCCTCGTTTAGCAAATTTTCTGTAATCTGCCATTTATTTTTAAGCACGCTAACCAGTCTACTCAGTTGTAATTAGATTAATGCTGTGCATCGCTGACGCTAACTACAATGTATAAGGTTTTATGTTAAGCATCTTGGTTAGGTAATATCTGGGACATGCCTCTTTAAAGATTACGTCGAAAAAATCCTTACTCCTTAAATC